AAATTCATTGGGACTGCATTTAGTGAAATGTCGAATTGGACATTTAGTAAGAGAAGTATTTCTATCTTTCCAGAAATTCTTCTCAAACTTTCAAGATACCTTAAATCGCATTTGCAGGTCATGATATGCGTCATAATGCCTGGATAAGGGTACAACCCGACTTCAAGTATATTTTACATTTCAACCATATTTTCCATACTAATTTCGGTAATTTGAGAAAAAACCATCCCGTGGTAGGGCAGGGAACTTTGTAAATCCGAAACACAAACAAACCAGTAAAGAAATTCTTAAAGTCGGGCGGGGCCGACTTTATGATACTCTACCCTACCTTGCTAATTTAGTAGAGCTCCGCATAACAATTAAAAGTTTTTATGGGAGAATTCAACCATACACGCTATGATTATAATTATAATTTAAAGTTCAAAGGACTAAATTTGCCGAAGCATTTGTATCTTTAAAATTCGCACTTGTATTGCCCATTTGGTGCAAAATTAATTTGAAATCGGATAAAGATATATATGGGAGCTATATCCAAATCGAAACCGATCTTGATAAAATTTGGCAAAGATATTTCTGAGCTGTATTTCATATATTTCCCTGAATATCGTTGTTACGGAGTGCATATTACGGCTGTGGGTAACAACTATGACAAGTCGGATGAACAGTATATATGGGAGCTATAACTATTTCTAAACCGATCTTCGCCAAATTTGACATACTAGCTTCTAGACTCAATTCGGTTGTAAGTGCCAAATGCCATCCCGTTTGGAAAAATGTTATACGTTTGGTGCACAATAAAATGTAAATCGGACGAAGTTATATATGGGAGCTATATCCAAATCTGAACCGACCTAGATAAAATTTATCAAATGTCTTTCTGAGCTGTATTTGATATATTTCCCCAAATTTTGTTGTTACAGAGTGCATATTACGGCTGCGGAGGACAAAAATAACAAATCGGATGAACAATATATATGGGAGCTAACCGATTAACCGATTTCGATCAAATTTGACATACTTATTTTCAGGCCTAATTTGATTGTATGTGCAAAATTCCATACTATTCCATATTACACGTTTGGTGCACAATAAAAGGTAAATCGGACGACGATATATATGGGAGATATATCTTAATTTTGACCGATTATCTCCAATTTCAATAGGGTTCGTCCTTGGGCCAAACAAATGATTTTTGCAAAATTTCATCTGGATAGGGCAATAAATGCGAACTGCACTTTGTTAACAAAAATACATGGACAGACGGACGGACATGCATAAATCGACTCAGAATGTGGTTCTATGTAGATCATCAAAAGGAACTATGGGTCTATCTCCTTTCCTTTTGCCTGTTACAAACAAATGCACAAAAACATAATACCCTGACCACCTTGTGGTGTAGGGTATAAAAAAAAAAAAACAAGTAAAAAAGCTGTAAGTTATTCCGGGCCAAACTTTGAATACCCTCCAGCATTTGGAACGAACTTGGCAATTCTCAAAAACAAAAAATTCTGTTAAAATCTTAAAAATACCGAATGTAGCTGTTATATTGCGGTCTATACGAAGACATGCACCTGCGTAGGTGACATTTGTCAAAAGCCATTACAATATTCAAATGCAAAACTTAAAAAAATCGGTTATAATGTCGATAAAATCAAAATATAGAATATCGGAAGGTACCGTTAAATGGGGGCTATACGAAAACGTAGACCTGTACAGACAATTTTCTGCCGTAGGCTGTAGTATCCATTACCAACTGTAGTATCCATTACGAACACTAAAATCATCGCATATCGGGAGGTACCGTTATATATGGGCTTTACGACGACGTGGACGTGCACAGACAATTTTCTGTCATAGGCTGTAGTATCCATTACGAACTTCAAATACCAAATTTGAAACAATTCTGGTGAAAAATGTCCATAAAATCATTAAAATACAAAGACAATTTTCTGTCTTAGGCTGTGGTATCCATTATGGAGTTTCCGGTAAATAAATTCGCAAAAATCATCGGACATTTTATTTTTTGAAGATTTCAATTTCATTCCAAATGGTGGAGGGTATTTAAAGTTCGGCCCGGCCTAACTTACTGTTTTTTAACTTGTTAATATTTTAATATTTTTAACGATCTCCTTTCTCAAATTAGTGTTGTCTACCATCCACATCAAAATACTTCCCAGAGAACGGCCCTTGTAAGCCATCATCCACACCAAATATGCCTGATGAGCCGCTTAACCAACGGCGAAACGCGTCTCATAGTGGTGAGTGTGTGATAGTGTCTATCTGGCCTTCCTTTTCACTGCAAATTTCAGATCATTAAGCTCGTCTCGACAGAGAAAACAAAAACATTTCCATTGTGATCCATTTTTCTTCTTTTATCATTTCAATTAATCATTAATTTCCTCATTAAACTTTTTTCATTTCCCCACTCACTTCCACACGCTTTATAGTAGCAAAGTTTCTTTGCTTTCTTATGTTGCCACAAACAATGGTTTAAAATTATATAAAGTAGTTGTAGCCATTTTTCTTCAAAATCCTCTATTTCCTATGGTTAAGACTGTTGTTCGGATTTCCATTCATTGCCAAAATGGCTATTTAGTTAAAAGCTTATTTAAAAATTTCTTAGTTTGGAAAAAGGGCGTAAGAATACTTTGTTTAAAAGGCGAAGAAATAGGTTAGTTCTACTCTTTGGTGTTAATTTCAGCAGAAGTCGTAACCTATTGTTTTTTTAGTATTTCACAGCCAGTACATCTGTTCAAAGGGTTTTTGGATGTTGTTTGTTTCACATAACGGGTAATACCAACAATTGCTGTCATGCACATAAAATGAGAGGGGCAAAATGCGATGTAGCTCCACTTTTTATAGTTTTAGGTGCTTACTTTCTCAATGTTTGCATTAAATCGCATTTTAAACAATGGGTTTTGTCTCTCATTTTGCCTTCTTATTCTTGAGTTGTTATCTTTTCTTCCTCTTCCAAAAGCTGAAAGTACATCTTTTATCTGATTTATGTTGACAACAGCAGCAGCAATGCTGCTGTTAAAATTTTACAAAAATCATTTTAATTAAATTCAAGTCCAAAAGTCAAAAGTTTTCTTTCTTAGATAGTTATAATGGAGACAACGCAAGATTAATAATGGGGACTATCCTATGAGCAAAAAGTGACATATAACTGCAAAATAATACAAAATATTAAAAGTCTATGTTGGAAAATGTATTTTGTACCTATGCCAGAATTGTATAATTTTATACCATCCTCCTGAAAGATTAATCCGGCAGATTTTTTTTTTGAAATATTTTTCCTAAAACCAAGTGTTTTCTAGAGGGAAACATAAAATGGCTCACTGTGCAGCAATAAAAAATAGGGCACGCTTATGAATGGCACTGCAGGAAATGCCGTTAAAAGAGCTTTCTAAAACGTTATTACTTGGCCAAATCGATCGTGGAAAATTAGAGAAAAATTGATTTTTCTTATTTTTCAAAAGTTATCAACGAGTCCCACTGTGCGAAAACTGAAAATAGTGCTAGCTAATAGTACTTTCAACATATAAACACTCGGGCAGTTTTTTTTTTTTTTAAAGTATTTTTCTTAATAATTTTTCCTAAAATAGTGCACACTTATGAATGGTACTGCAGGAAAGGTCGTTTCAAGAGCTTTCTAAAACGCTATTACTTGGCCAAATCGATCGTGGAAAATTAGAGAAAAATGGTTTTTTTTCTAATTTTTCAAAAGTTATCAACGAGTCCCACTGTGCGAAAACTAAAAATAGTGCAAGCTTATGGAATAGCACGTTGGAAAGCCCATGAGGTGTACTTTCAAGATATAAACACTCCTGAAAGCTTTTCCCTAAAATCAAGTGTTTTCTAGAGGGAAACATAAAATGGCCCACTGTGCAGCAAGAGCTTTCCGTATTTATGAGAGAACATCCAGGCGTTTCATTCATCTTTTGCGTTATTTGACTCATTTTAGAAATGTACAAAAAATATCAATAAATGAAAACAACTTGTTGCCTGTAATTTTAAATAATTCTGACAGGAAGCGGGTATAGCCTTAAGGCTGTATTTCTGTAGTTTTACGAAGCTGTTCTACCTCCTTATTGTACCATGGTATAATCTGCACACATTACCAAACTATCGCTAACATCGATGTTTTTCTCGATAGTCTGGTAATGTGCCATTCATTTAGGCATGTGAAATATATTCGAGGGAACAAAGTATAATCTGCGCACATTACCAAACTATCGTTAACATCGACGTTGGAGGGAAATATTGTAATTGTTGATTTGTATTGAAGAACAAGACACCTGAAACTTGGGTAGGTATACATTTTTGTGAATTTTTATTGTTGAATTTTAATAAAATTATGCTCTGTTACAAAAACGCAAGGATTTAAAACTATTTAATAAGATAACTAATTTTCCTTTCAGGTATTGAAAAAAAGCAAAAAGCAGTAAATGATTGCTGGGTTTGGAACAGACAAAAAGTCCAAATCTGGCACGTTGTAAGGATAATATTGGTCCATTCTTTCGGAACCTTTCCAAGTCTAGCATGTCGAAATATGTATTTGAGTAAACGGACATTGACTGAGGGTATACATCTGTCGATAGAACCGACTGATACTTTTTAGCTTGTTTTTTATATTGCACACAATTTTTTTCAATTTGATATACCAAATCGAATTGTACATTTTGTATTTTTTAAGTATTTTCGCAACAGTGTAGAAAAATTAGTGTACACTTTATATTAACCTCTGTAGAACGAAATAAGTATTCTCTACTTATAATACCTCTGATAACATAATTAATCTTATTAAAATGAAAAAACTATTACTAATTGTAGTAAAAAAATAAGAAAAACGCAAACTTAAAAATCGATGTAAAACATATGTAAAAAAACTAAAAAATAGATTAATTCAAAAAAAAAAAAAAAAACTCGCTTCTATAGAAAACCTTATGATGTACCACCTTCATAATTTTCCTCATTTTCATGGCTTTATTCCACATCCGTTACGCGATAACATCTTTATTCTGCCTCAAATTGAGATTCTCCAATTCGGTAGATAAATTAGTGAAAGACGAGGGTTGTAGGGGATAACGCTTTCGTTGTGGCAATGGCTGTTGTTGAACATATACGGATTGGTGATTTTGTTCTTCCTGTTGTTGCGATTGCTCTGGCTGAATATGATGTAAAACTGGCTGTTGTTGAATTTCTATAAAGTGGTGGTTTGTATGTTGCGACAGCTGTGGCTGAAAATGTTGTGCCACTGGCTGTTGGTGTTGTTGCGACTGCTGGTGCTGGATATGCACTTGCTGTTGGTGAGTCTGCACTATGTGGTGTTGTTGTGCCTGTAAATGAATCAGCTGTTGTGGAGTGTGGATAAAATTAGGTTGGACAAAAATAGGTTTGATGAAAAGTACTGTGGCACAAACTGCTGAAAGTGTTGCTGGAATGTTGGGTCTGGATATTGTGTGCAGCCGTATTGTTGCACTTGATTGTAATGCGAATGTTGTGGGCCATAACGTTCTTGTCTGCTGTGAGTATTCGGCCATGGATTGCCATAACGTTCTTGCCTGTTGCGCGTATCCGGCTGTTGCCTTTTTAATGCCTCGATTTTTTTTCGAATTTTCTTATTAGTCTCTGCCTTTGCAGAAACTGATTCTTTCTCCTGTTACCTATTGCCAAAAAGAATTTATATAATACAAGTTTTTTTTAAAAATTTTATTATACAAAACTTACCATTTTTCAAATTAACGAATGCGAAGGAATTTCACGAATTCTTATTATTTTGTTGAGGCTTCACTTAAACTTTTTAGCTTTCTTTTGCAAACTCCGTTATTTTTTAGCACATCAAAGCCACTGTTATTTACGCCAGGCGTTAACCCAAAGAAAGCGGTTACTTTATGTAACCTTTTGGTGTTTGCTGACGGCGATAAAATAAGTACCCGATTGTTGTAACGCTTTAAATTGTTTTTCGCACAGACGTTTACGTCTAACGTTCTTATAAAAAAAACATCTATTGTAAAATTTGTAAATATTTATGATATTTTATTATATATTATGTAATGTACAACTCACACATACACAAACACCTTTATCATAATTAATGTAGGGGTACGTAAGATGTAATGAACTCCTAAAAAAATTATAATATTAAGAAAAGGCTATCTATACATCGGACATAACTTGCAGCTTTAATTAAATTAATATTTTTACTTTTAATGCTGTTTTGTTTTTTAATTTATGAACATATTGACTGTATGTTGTTTTACGTTAAATACACTTTTACAAATAACTTATAAAGTTAACGGCACCGTAATTACACATATCGGCGTCTAAATTGAAGTGCAGCGTCGACATTTATTTTTCAGTTTGTTTCGAAAACGAAAAGCAAAAATGTTAAACGTTAAAAGAAAATTATTTTGTTATATATGTAGGCTTTTCTTTCTAAATTATAAAAGGAAGGGACAGTCTATAGATAGTTTTAGGTAGTTAAGTGACAACACTCTGTGTGCAGAATTATTCGAAAAGCTAAATAAGCAACTTAACTTATCCACGCACATTGAGCTACGGTAAAATTATTTGCGACAGCAGAAAAAAAAGAAAGCGAATATTCTCTCGTTTTAAAGCTGCAGTAAGTACTACAAACTTTCCATGTGATGAATAATATTGTAATATAAATATTTACTGACAATCATCTTATATGTAGTAAAGGAAGTAGTCAATGTATGCTCTGTTACAGAGATGCAAGGATTTAAAACTATTTAATAAGATAACTAATTTTTCTTTAAGGTATTGAAAAAAAGCAAAAACCAGTAAATGATTGCTGGGTTTGGAACAGACAAAAAGTCAAAATCTGGCACGTTGTAAGGATAATATTGGCCCAGTCTTTCGGAACCTTTCCAAGTCAAGTATGTCGAAATATGTATTTGAGTAAACGGACATTGTCTGAGGGTATACATCTGTCGATAGAACCGACTGATACTTTTTAACTTGTTTTTTATTTTGCACACAATTTTTTCAATTTGATATATCAAACCGAATTGTACATTTTGTATTTTTTAAGTCTTTTCGCAACAGTGTAGAAAATCAAATTAGTGTACAGTTTATAACAACCTCTGTAGAACCAAATTAGTATTATCTACTTATAATAGCTCTGATTTTGAAATGAAAATAGAGGGCAAATTACGAGTTATAAAATATATATTTCATATCTTATAAAATATTTATATCTAACATAATTAAACTTATTAAAACGAAAAAACGATTACTAATTGTAGTAAAAAAATAAGAAAAACGCAAAACTTAAGAATAGATGTAAAAACATATGTAAAAAAAAAAAAACTAAAAAATAGATTAATTCAAAAACAAAAAAACTCTCTTTTATAGAAAACCTTATGATGTACCAACTTCATCATTTTCCTCATTTTCATAGCTTGATTCCACACCCGTTACGCGATCACTGTCTTTACTCTGCCTCAAATTGAGATTCTCCAATTCGGTAGGTAAATGATTAAAAGACGAGGGTTGTAGCGGATAACGCTTTCGTTGTGGCTATGGCTGTTGTTGAACATATACGGATTGGAGATTTTGTTCTTCCTGTTGTTGCTGAATATGATGTAAAACTGGCTGTTGTTGAATTTCTATAAAGTGGTGGTTTGTATGTTGCGACAGCTGTGGCTGAAAATGTAGTGCCACTGGCTGTTGGTGTTGTTGAGACTGCTGGTGCTGGATATGATGTGAAACTGGCTGTTGTTAGATTTGTACATAGTGGTGGTTTGTGTGTTCCGACAGCTGTGGCTGAAAATGTTGTGCCACTGGCTGTTGGCGTTGTTGCAAATGCTGGTGCTGTATATGCACTTGCTGTTGGTGAGTCTCCACTATGTGGTGTTGTTGTGCCTGTAAATGCATCGGCTGTTGTGGAGTGTGGACAAAATTAGGTTGGAATGTTGCAAAAAAAATTGATGGAAAGTACTGTGGCACAAACTGCTGAAAGTGTTGCTGGAATGTTGGTTCTGGATATTGTTTGCAGCGGTATTGTTGTACTTGATTATAATGCGAATGTTGTGGGCCATAACGTTCTTGTCTGCTGTGAGTATTCGGCCATGGATGGCCATAACGTTCTTGCCTGTTGCGCGTATCCGGCAGTTGCCTTTTTAATGCCTCGATTTTTTTCGAATTTTCTTATTAGTCTCTGCCTTTGGAGAAACTGATTTTTTCTCCTGCTACCTGGAGCCACGCTAACTAGTAAATTTAGCGGTATCTTAAATGGATACTAGATATTGCCAAAAACAGATTATATAATACAAGTTTTTTTTAAAATATTATTATACAAAACTTACTATTTTTTGAATGAACGAATTTCACGAATTCTTATTATTTTGTTGAAGCTTCACTTAAACTTTTTAGCTTTCTTTTGCCAAACTCCGTTAACCTTTTGGTGTTTGCTGACGGCGATAAAATAAGTACCCGATTGTTGTAACGTCTTAAATTGTTTTTCGCACAGACGTTTACGTCTAACGTTTATATTTATGATATTTTATTAAATACTATATAATGTACAACTCACACATACACAAACACATTTATCATAATTATATGTTAATGTAGGGCCCTAAGGGTTTGTAAGATGTAATGAACTCCTAAAAAAATTATAATATTAAGAAAAGGCATCTATACATCGGACATAACTTGCAGCTTTAATTAAATTAATATTTTTACTTTTAATGTTGCTTTGTTTTTTAATTTATGAACATATTGACTATATGTTGTTTTACGTTAAATACACTTTTCAAATAACTTATAAAGTTAACGGCACCGTAATTACACATATCGGCGTCTAAATTGAAGTGCAGCGTCGAAATTTATTTTTCAGTTTGTTTCGAAAACGAAAAGCAAAAATGTTAAACGTTAAAAGAAAATTATTTTGTTATATATGTAGGCTTTTCTTTCTAAATTATAAAAGGAAGGGACAGTCTATAGATAGTTTTAGGTAGTTAAGTGACAACACTCTGTATGCAGAATTATTCGAAAAGCTAAATAAGCAACTTAACTTATCCACGCACATTGAGCTACGGTAAAATTATTTGCGACAGCAGAAAAAAAAGAAAGCGAGTATTCTCTCGTTTTAAAGCTGCAGTAAGTACTACAAACTTTCCATGTGATGAATAATATTGTAATATAAATATTTACTGACAATCATCTTATATGTAGTAAAGGAAGTAGTCAATGTATGCTCTGTTACAGAGATGCAAGGATTTAAAACTATTTAATAAGATAACTAATTTTCCTTTAAGGTATTGAAAAAAAAGCAAAAACCAGTAAATGATTGCTGGGTTTGGAACAGACAAAAAGTCAAAATCTGGCACGTTGTAAGGATAATATTGGCCCAGTCTTTCGGAACCTTTCCAAGTCAAGTATGTCGAAATATGTATTTGAGTAAACGGACATTGTCTGAGGGTATACATCTGTCGATAGAACCGACTGATACTTTTTAACTTGTTTTTTATTTTGCACACAATTTTTTCAATTTGATATATCAAACCGAATTGTACATTTTGTATTTTTTAAGTCTTTTCGCAACAGTGTAGAAAATCAAATTAGTGTACAGTTTATAACAACCTCTGTAGAACCAAATTAGTATTATCTACTTATAATAGCTCTGATTTTGAAATGAAAATAGAGGGCAAATTACGAGTTATAAAATATATATTTCATATCTTATAAAATATTTATATCTAACATAATTAAACTTATTAAAACGAAAAAACGATTACTAATTGTATTAAAAAAATAAGAAAAACGCAAACTTAAGAATCGATGTAAAAACATATGTAAAAAAAAAAACTAAAAAATAGATTAATTCAAAAACAAAAAAACTCTCCTTTATAGAAAACCTTATGATGTACCAACTTCATCATTTTCCTCATTTTCATAGCTTGATTCCACACCCGTTACGCGATCACTGTCTTTACTCTGCCTCAAATTGAGATTCTCCAATTCGGTAGGTAAATGATTAAAAGACGAGGGTTGTAGTGGATAACGCTTTCGTTGTGGCTATGGCTGTTGTTGAACATATACGGATTGGTGATTTTGTTCTTCCTGTTGTTGCTGAATATGATGTAAAACTGGCTGTTGTTGAATTTCTATAAAGTGGTGGTTTGTATGTTGCGACAGCTGTGGCTGAAAATGTAGTGCCACTGGCTGTTGGTGTTGTTGAGACTGCTGGTGCTGGATATGATGTGAAACTGGCTGTTGTTAGATTTGTACATAGTGGTGGTTTGTGTGTTCCGACAGCTGTGGCTGAAAATGTTGTGCCACTGGCTGTTGGTGTTGTTGCAAATGCTGGTGCTGTATATGCACTTGCTGTTGGGGAGTCTCCACTATGTGGTGTTGTTGTGCCTGTAAATGCATCGGCTGTTGTGGAGTGTGGACAAAATTAGGTTGGAATGTTGCAAAAAAATTTGATGAAAAGTACTGTGGCACAAATTGCTGAAAGTGTTGCTGGAATGTTGGTTCTGGATATTGTTTGCAGCGGTATTGTTGTACTTGATTATAATGCGAATGTTGTGGGCCATAACGTTCTTGTCTGCTGTGAGTATTCGGCCATGGATGGCCATAACGTTCTTGCCTGTTGCGCGTATCCGGCAGTTGCCTTTTTAATGCCTCGATTTTTTCGAATTTTCTTATTAGTCTCTGCCTTTGGAGAAACTGATTTTTTCTCCTGCTACCTGGAGCCACGCTAACTAGTATCTTAAATGGATACTAGATATTGCCAAAAACAGATTATATAATACAAGTTTTTTTAAAATATTATTATACAAAACTTACTATTTTTTGAATGAACGAATTTCACGAATTCTTATTATTTTGTTGAAGCTTCACTTAAACTTTTTAGCTTTCTTTTGCCAAACTCCGTTAACCTTTTGGTGTTTGCTGACGGCGATAAAATAAGTACCCGATTGTTGTAACGTCTTAAATTGTTTTTCGCACAGACGTTTACGTCTAACGTTTATATTTATGATATTTTATTAAATACTATATAATGTACAACTCACACATACACAAACACATTTATCATAATTATATGTTAATGTAGGGCCCTAAGGGTTTGTAAGATGTAATGAACTCCTAAAAAAATTATAATATTAAGAAAAGGCATCTATACATCGGACATAACTTGCAGCTTTAATTAAATTAATATTTTTACTTTTAATGTTGCTTTGTTTTTTAATTTATGAACATATTGACTATATGTTGTTTTACGTTAAATACACTTTTCAAATAACTTATAAAGTTAACGGCACCGTAATTACACATATCGGCGTCTAAATTGAAGTGCAGCGTCGAAATTTATTTTTCAGTTTGTTTCGAAAACAAAAAGCAAAAATGTTAAACGTTAAAAGAAAATTATTTTGTTATATATGTAGGCTTTTCTTTCTAAATTATAAAAGGAAGGGACAGTCTATAGATAGTTTTAGGTAGTTAAGTGACAACACTCTGTATGCAGAATTATTCGAAAAGCTAAATAAGCAACTTAACTTATCCACGCACATTGAGCTACGGTAAAATTATTTGCGACAGCAGAAAAAAAAGAAAGCGAGTATTCTCTCGTTTTAAAGCTGCAGTAAGTACTACAAACTTTCCATGTGATGAATAATATTGTAATATAAATATTTACTGACAATCATCTTATATGTAGTAAAGGAAGTAGTCAATGTATGCTCTGTTACAGAGATGCAAGGATTTAAAACTATTTAATAAGATAACTAATTTTCCTTTAAGGTATTGAAAAAAAAGCAAAAACCAGTAAATGATTGCTGGGTTTGGAACAGACAAAAAGTCAAAATCTGGCACGATGTAAGGATAATATTGGCCCAGTCTTTCGGAACCTTTCCAAGTCAAGTATGTCGAAATATGTATTTGAGTAAACGGACATTGTCTGAGGGTATACATCTGTCGATAGAACCGACTGATACTTTTTAACTTGTTTTTTATTTTGCACACAATTTTTTCAATTTGATATATCAAACCGAATTGTACATTTTGTATTTTTTAAGTCTTTTCGCAACAGTGTAGAAAATCAAATTAGTGTACAGTTTATAACAACCTCTGTAGAACCAAATTAGTATTATCTACTTATAATAGCTCTGATTTTGAAATGAAAATAGAGGGCAAATTACGAGTTATAAAATATATATTTCATATCTTATAAAATATTTATATCTAACATAATTAAACTTATTAAAACGAAAAAACGATTACTAATTGTAGTAAAAAAATAAGAAAAACGCAAACTTAAGAATCGATGTAAAAACATATGTAAAAAAAAAACTAAAAAATAGATTAATTCAAAAACAAAAAAACTCTCTTTTATAGAAAACCTTATGATGTACCAACTTCATCATTTTCCTCATTTTCATAGCTTGATTCCACACCCGTTACGCGATCACTGTCTTTACTCTGCCTCAAATTGAGATTCTCCAATTCGGTAGGTAAATGATTAAAAGACGAGGGTTGTAGTGGATAACGCTTTCGTTGTGGCTATGGCTGTTGTTGAACATATACGGATTGGTGATTTTGTTCTTCCTGTTGTTGCTGAATATGATGTAAAACTGGCTGTTGTTGAATTTCTATAAAGTGGTGGTTTGTATGTTGCGACAGCTGTGGCTGAAAATGTAGTGCCACTGGCTGTTGGTGTTGTTGAGACTGCTGGTGCTGGATATGATGTGAAACTGGCTGTTGTTAGATTTGTACATAGTGGTGGTTTGTGTGTTCCGACAGCTGTGGCTGAAAATGTTGTGCCACTGGCTGTTGGTGTTGTTGCAAATGCTGGTGCTGTATATGCACTTGCTGTTGGTGAGTCTCCACTATGTGGTGTTGTTGTGCCTGTAAATGCATCGGCTGTTGTGGAGTGTGGACAAATTAGGTTGGAATGTTGCAAAAAAATTTGATGGAAAGTACTGTGGCACAAACTGCTGAAAGTGTTGCTGGAATGTTGGTTCTGGATATTGTTTGCAGCGGTATTGTTGTACTTGATTATAATGCGAATGTTGTGGGCCATAACGTTCTTGTCTGCTGTGAGTATTCGGCCATGGATGGCCATAACGTTCTTGCC